CCCCCCTGCCAGTGCCCCGTGCCCACCTCAGTGCGCAGGCTCTGCAGGAAGGCAGCTTTCTGGCGCAGTGGGTCGTGGGTGAGCCCGTCACAGAAGGAGACAGCGCCGTGGGGGAAGTTGTGCTGGGACAGCCAGGCCACCACACGGTGCTTCTGCATGTCGGGGCGCCCCGTCACGTAGATGATCATGTACCCCGCGTCCTGCCAGTGCCTAGGAGGGGACAGGGGTGGCTGCCAGGAGCCTGTTGTTGGGGCCAGTCCATGGTGGACAGGAAGCCACACCCAATACAACATGTGGCTGCCTCCAAAACCTCCCTGCTCTCAAGGACTTTATCAAGGGGAAGGCACAGCAGAGCTGTGGAGATCACATCCAAACCTCGAGGGGATTATTTTCCACAATAAAGCAGCAGAATATATGGTGTGTTGAGGCAAGGGCGGTGGGACATCCCCCAATTTGTACCTACTCCAATACTCTCCCTACCCTTCAACTGGGTTGTCACCACAGCATCAAAGAGGGAAGAGATTGTCCTCCTGACTGAAGGGCACCCACCTTACGACGTCCACAGCCCCTGCCCGCACTTTGGGGTCACTGCCCATGATGGAGACGCTGGCAGTGAAGGAGCCGTCGATGCTGAACACGACGGACTCGGTGCCGCGGGCCACCACGGTCAGGTACGCCTCGGCATAGCTGTGATCCCCCCTGGAACGGCAGACTGGGGGCTTGGCCCTTGGCCTCCGCTGCCAGAAGGGCGGGTGTAGCTCTGCCAAAAAGGCTGGAGGAGGAACTGAGGTGACACCTCACCTGACCACCATGCGCACGGGGTAGATCCCGATGGCCAGAGCCTTGTCCGGAGGGATGGTGAAGGTCAGGCGCCCGCTGCCGCTCGTCACCTCGGTGCCATAGTACAGCCACTTCCCTGACAGCGGCTGTGTCATGATGTAGATGTCCACCTGGGAGAGGGAAACAGGCTGGGCACAGGCTGAACCCCAACATCCTGCTGTGTCCCCACTTGAGAGTCCTTACGACCCTCTCCCCCCATCCCATGCAGGGTCCTATTCACCCCCTGCCATGGGTGACACCAGCCCCGTGCCCCGTCCTGGACACCTCCTATTTGAGGGGGTCCCGGTGGCACCATGACCCAGCAGTACCTTCTCCCCGGTCAGTGTCACCACGTCCAGGGGTCCGTACATGAAGCGCCCGCTCAGGACCTGCGCTTTGCCCTCGCACACGATCACGTCGCAGGCCCGGTGGTTGGCCGTCACGTTCTGTGGGGGCACAGCGGGCTCAGCAGGGTGACACAGGGACACCCCTGGGCTGCGGGACTGTCCCAGAACCCTCCCAGGTGCACGACCCCAGGATGCCCTGGGTGGGCTCCTGCTGGCCACAGGCCACATACCCGGATCTTCACTTGGGTGCGCTTGCGCTGCCACTTCTCCCGAGGGATGGCGGGGCTGTAGATGGAGCTCTCCTCACTCTCTGCTGGCTGTGGCCCCTCCTTCTCCA